AACAAACCCTGGTGGATATTCTGATTCATAGCAACCCTACAGGATAGAGAAGTGTTCCATGGGGTTTCTAAGGCTGTAAGTCTTACAGTCATCACTCATACACAAAATATAATCCTTTTCCATATGATATTCTTAGTGAAAACAGAGGATTCACATAGAGACAAACACATCATGAGCATGCGCATTTAAGTTAATATCAGTAGGGTCACCATTAAATTTCTTTGTTGCAAGAAACAGCAGTCAGCTCCGGCTATCACAAACATCAAGGAGCTGTGTAGAAGATGTTTTCATCTCCCAAATCAATGTGTAGCTAATGGACCAGGCTTAGAGAAGAAGTAGCGGCTCAGGGAGCTCTGGAGGCTAGTCTGGCAAAAACACACAAGACCAATGTTCCTTTGCAGGATCACCTGGTGTTTATACACCACTCCCTCCAAAGAGTTTCATGCAAAAACATTTTGTCTACCTTGAATCACTAGCTTACTCACTTAAGATAATCAGGGAAAGCTGTCTGACCCCTGCTTAAACCTAAAACCAAACCCACTGCAATCAAGTTGATTCCAACTCCTAGGACTCCATGGGACATAGTAGAACTGCCTCCCAGGGGTTCCAAGGTTATCAATCTTTATGAAACTGACTGCCATATCTTTCTCCCAGGAAGTGGCTGGGGGCTTGGAATCATCAACAGTTAGGTTAACTGCTGAGCACTTTAACCACAGTGCCAGCCAAACTCACTCCTCTCTTCTTCCAAGACAGTTCTTCTGGAACTCCAGGATATGTCCAATATGTTTTGTCCACAGCATAATTCAAAGTTATCAATTCTTTTTCAGCCTTTCTTATTCATTGTCTAGCTCTGATGGCTATATGAATCTAATGAAAATACCATGATTACCATGATTTTTACCTCAGTCTTCAGAGTGACATCCTTTTTTTTTTTTTTTTTTTTAAATAAGACATACACACAGACCAATCAATCCAGGATGATGTACCCACACACTCTATGGAGATCCACCCCTTGGAGCATTTGACCAAGAGAAACCAGAGGGGCAACATGTACACAGAGGAAGTGCAGGACACACAGTGCATAACTCTGAGAGTCATGGAGAGGGGTTACTGGGAAGGGAGGGGAGGAGAGTGGGTTAGGTTTGAGTAATTGGGGAGTGAAACCAAGTGTTCAGGAAATGTTGAATGTAAAACAAAATCTGGTCTGTGAATTTGCATCTAAAGCACTGTTGTTGTTGTTATGCGCCGTCAAGTCAGACTGACTCATAGAGACCCCTCCTTGGGTTTCCAAGGCGGTATCACTACGGAAGTAGATTGCCCAACCTTCCTTCCGAGGAGTGGCTGGTGGGTTTGAATCACTAGCCTTCTGGTTAGCAGTCAAGTGCCTTAGGCACTAACTACCATATCTCCATACAGTGGGATATCTCTACCTAAAGATATATCAGAATGACAAAAAGAAAAAGAAAGTGGATAATATTGAGATTTGATAAGAATGCAGAAGAACTGAATCTTTCTCATAATGCTGTGGGAGAGTATATTGATATAACCAGTTTGGAAAATAATTTGACAGTATTATTTAAGCTGAATGTATGCGTACTCTGTAATTCAACAGTTCCACTCAACATATAACTGACAGAAATACAATGCATACATATGTTTATGAAGATATATGCTATAAAGATACAAATGCAAGGATATCTTCTGTAACACCCAAATCTTAAAGCAGGCTGAATACACATCAATAGTAGAAACTAGGTTATATAAATTATAGTAGCCATACAATGGAATGTTACCCAACCACAGAGATGGAAGAACTATTACTACACTCATCACATTTATCTACATGAATGACAATCACAAATATAGTATTCAACATCAATATTATGAACAGGGAAAGACTGAACATAAAATCTGTGCACTACATGACTCCAATCACATAAAATTCAAGGAACAGACCAATTGAATCGCTCTATGGTGTCATAAAGAGCTCTGGTAGCTTAGTGCCTAAGGCACTTAACTGCTAACCAGAAGGCTGATGGTTCAAACCCACCAGCCACTCCTTGGAAAGAAGATAGGGCAATCTACTTCCGTAGTGATACTGCCTCGGAAACCCAAGGAGGGGTCGCTCTGAGTCGGACCCAACTCGATGGCACATAACAACAACAACAACAACATGGTGTCATAAGTAAAGTCTAACTTAACTTAAGGTGTAATAACAAGGGGAGGGCGTGGGAAGGGCTTGTAATATTGTACTTCTTGATTTAGAGGCTGGTTACACAAACACAGATTCAATGCCACCGAGGTGATACAACTCATAGTGACCTTATGGGACAGAGTAGAACTGCCCCGTAAGGTTTCCAAAGCTGTAATCCTTATAGGAACAGACTGTCACATCTTTCCCCTGAAGAGAAACTGGTTTGATCCTGCTGAAATTTTTCTTGACAACCAAGCTCTTTAACCACTGCACTATACACATATAATTTGTGCACATTTTCAATATGTATGTTAGACCTCAATATAAAGGTTATTTTACATTCATAAAGTCTAATCCCAGTTTTCAAACAGGTAAGACCTCCTCCTATATCAAAACATTCTTTATCTTATAGGCCCCAGATTAAGAGAAGTTAGTCACAGAATTTTTACAGAAAATCTTGAAAATAATATTGAATAAATGATAGAAAAATGTGAATTGTGTGCAATTAACATGGTGAATATAATGCAAATGAGAATCCATCATAGACATAAAGTAACTTTATTGACCTCAGTGTGGGAACAGCAATATTGAGCTGGAACATAAAAGAGAAAAGCACTAGCCATTGGTTGGCTTCCTTGTTAAATCTATGTTGTGTCAATTTTTATGTCTCCAGAGAAATCATTCAATGGAAAAATGACCTAGCAAAATAATTATTCCATTCTCTCACATGTTTGAAATACCTTAGGGAAATGGAGTTAACATACAAATAATATAAATGTTGCCTGCATTATTAACTCAAGGAGCCATGAATATTCCCTGTAGGAATAGACCTAACTCCCTGCCATTGAGTCAGATTAGACTCATAGTGACCTCCACTGAATTTCCGAGGTGGTAAATCTTTACAGAAGTAGATTGTCCCATCTTCCTCCTGTTTTTTTTCAGAGGTAGGTTTTTTGTTTGTTTGTTTGTTTGTTTAGTTCTGTTTGTACTCATAACCATGAAAAATGCCTTTATTTGTGCATTCTTGTATGCTGTCAGAATTATAGTTATCATTATAATGATTAAATCACTAGATGAAAAATTGCAATTAAAAGGAAAACATAGACATTTAGTTGCTAAGGTTTTGTCACTTATAAAAGTGATTAAATAATGACAATATATGTTAAGGGAATCAAAATGTATGGAATGGAATGCTGTAGGATCCTTCATTTAATATAAATGCTAAACCTAAATAAAAACCTGTTGTGTATTCTGTCTCTTAGAGATGGGACAGGATAGAGAAGTGCTCCATGGGGTTTCTAAGGCTGCAAGTCTTAACAGTCGTCATTCATACACAAAACATAATCCTTTTTCATATGATATTCTTAGTGAAAATAGAAGATTCACATATAGACAAACACATTATGAGTATGCACATTTAAGTCAGTATCAGTAGGGTCACCATTTAATTTCTCTGTTGCAAGCAACAGCAGTCAGCTCTGGCTATCACAAACAATAAGGAACTGCTGTAGAAGATGTTTTCATCTCCCATATCAATGTGTAGCTAGTAGACCAGGCTTAGAGAAGAGGTAGCGGCTCAGGGAGTTCTGGAGGCTAGTCTGGAAAAAACCCACAAGAACAGTGTTCCTTTGAAGGATCAGCTGGTGTTTATGCCCCACTCCCTCCAAAGAGTTTCATGCAAAAATATTTTGTCCACCTTGAGTCATTCACTTACTGACTTAAGACAATCAGGGACACTTGTCTGATCCTTGCTTAAACTTAAAAACCAAACTCACTGCCATCAAGTTGATTTCAGTCCTAGGACTCTTTAGGACATAGTACAACTGCCTCCCAGGGGTTCCAAGGTTATCAATCTTTATGAAACTGACTGCCGTATCTTTCTCCCAGGAGGTGGCTGGGGGCTTGGAATCATCAACAGTTAGGTTAACTGCTGAGCACTTTAACCACAGTGCCAGCCAAACTCACTCCTCTCTTACTCAGGGATCTGGATCCTCAGATTTCATAAAGGCAGCCAGAAGTAGATGGCCAAGAGCAGAGAACTTATATCATTTCTCAACTCTGTGATATGGAAAACCATCTTCAAAAGAAGGCCAATGAAGTGTTAAGGGCTGGTTTAAAAAATGCAAATACGTAGCCATTTAACAAAAGAGAGGGTAAAACAAAAAGGACTTCTACTGCACCTGGCAAGTCTCTATTCCATTAAGTGTGGAGGGGTAGGAAAGTATCCAACTAGCCCACCTTGATTAGTTAGAATTCCCCAGTAGGGATTTGTTGGGTGAAAATTACTGAAACAGAAGGAGGTCATTGGGACAAATGTTAGCCTTCGATACTCTTTTCTTTTCTCTCTGTCAACTTTTCCTCTGCACTCATGCACTCACTGATGAGAAATTTCTTTAGTCCTGAAGACTATCTTTGGGTCAAGAATTGGAATCTCTTTGAGAGCAATGGGTTTGGTTTTGTTTTTTATGTCCATAAAAGACCGTTCTTTGTCAAATAAGTGAGGGGGGAATGGATTAAGAGGCAAGAGATAAGAGCAAAATGCACAGGAGTGAGGGAGAGGAGAAAAATAAAACAAGAAAAATAGGGGGCTCTCTGTGACAGGGCTATCAGGGAACTACTTTGGATCCTCCCAGTTTCCAAAGACTGGAGAGATTGAATTGAGCAGGAATGATGAACAGTTGAAATAGATGGAGAAAACATGCTGAGAAAAGGGAAGGAATTTGGTAAGAAGTCACTGCTGTAGTATTTATTTTTTCATTATAACCCAACATAAATACAAACATTTCATCTCCCATCCAAGGAAATTATGAGAAGAAACTTCACTTCGGTGAGTGAGTTCGTTCTCCTGGGACTGGCCAGTCGCCTGGAATTGCAGATTCTCTTCTTCCTGCTGTTTCTGGCAGTTTACGTGGTCACAGTGGCAGGGAATCTGGGCATGATTCTGCTCATTCGGGTCAGTGTCCGGCTCCACACGCCCATGTACTTTTTCCTGAGTCACTTATCCTTTGTGGATCTGTGCTTCTCCACCAATGTGACTCCTAAGATGCTGGAGACCTTCCTGTCAGAGAAGAAAACCATTTCCTACCCTGCATGCCTGGTGCAGTGTTACTTTTTTATTGCCTTGGTCCATGTTGAGGTCTATGTCCTGGCTGTGATGGCCTTTGACAGGTACATGGCCATCTGCAACCCTCTACTTTATGGCAGCAAAATGTCCAAGAGTGTGTGCTCATCCCTCATCACAGTGCC